ACCCGCTCATTACATTCAGAGACGATTTAGTATGAGAGAGGACTGAGTTAGACTGCAAGTTCAGCCTGAGGTAAGTGAGCTTGCCAACCTCAGGGAATGCATACAATCACACCTGGAAAACAGCTGTGTCCGTTCAAGACTTACGTGTCTTCGGTGAAGCGACCGTGAGTGGAGACGCACAGGACTTTAGGGTCTACATACTCAATGGAGAACTCATCTGCAGGAACCGCGTACACTTTATACTACACAGAGAAAAAGATGTATTTAAAGCTCCATGTTGCTGCCTCGATATGAAGCTGTGACGCATCTTTTGGGCAAACCTTTCACTTACCAGAAGGAATGATGCTGTGGAGGTCTGCAAGAGAACTTCAGTCCTGTGACTCAGCTGAAACACTGCTACTTGGTTTCTGTTGTCCACCGCCACACTTCGACACAGATTGCTGCACGGGTTAGGAAACACAACAACACGTACATGAAACGTGCACATATTATTTAACCTTCTATCTCTAGGATATTGATAAGTATTCAGTTAATAAAGACCTAAATCAAATCAATATTACTACAAGTAATGTTATGAAAGCATCAAGTGTGGGATTCACCTGAAGGCACAGCTGTAAATATTAGCCCTGCCCATAACCGGGTCAACTGATTGTCCACTGATGAGTATGTTGACATTTTGGACAGTGTCCACCTCGCTGGCATACTCCAGAATAAGCATATATGGCCCAGAATCAGGTACAGGCAGGCTAAGCTGCAGCTGAGACTAGAGGAGACAGAACATTTATTTAAGGGAGACATTCAGGCATTTTAGGATAACAAAACTGAAAAACATAAACCGCAAAAAGAAGTAAATCAAACATCAATATATAAGATTGATTGATTATCATTGGGAAGTAAGATCCAGTCTATAAACTGAACTGCAGTCTCACGGTTTTATTCCGGACTTTAGCGCAGATAAAGGGAACCTGTTTTTTTCTTTTAATAGCTTAACCGTTTTTACACCGCACACACAATTTTTACACTAACATTCATCTTTAAAATACTGAACCTGTCTCCCATTGAGAGCAGCCATTTCAGGGTGATCAGGGGTGAGACGCCGCACACGAGCCTGCCTCCTCTTGCGCCCACGCCGGGTTGTGAATTTTCCCTGTGAGCCCAGTGCGGAGCTGAAGCCATCCAGGGCTATGTGCTTATACAACAGACAGCTGAGACGCACGCACGCACGCAAAAAGAAAAAAGTTAACAATCTACCAACAACAAGAAAGATGAGAAAAATAGTGGAGAATGAAATTTACTTTTCATCCTTGTTTGCGGTGGGTAAATATGTGCATGGTTGAGTGATCTTTTCCTGCAGGAGAGGCGCTTCATAGTAATCCTGGGGTAGTAACACTAAGTAGTCCTGATAAAGGCAATGACACAGAGTGACAATACATATATATATATTGTTTTTTTAAACTTGCAAAACACCAAATGACCAGGAATTTTCCACTTTTAAAATGACATCTGTACATCAGTGATTTCTTTATAAACTTACCAGGAGAACTCCTTCTGCTCTTATGTGCATGATCCATGTCCCAGGAGTCAATTCAAAAGGCTCAGCAAAGCCGTCTCCAGGCACGGTGAGGAAGGATGGGGACGGACTAACGGGAAATATTACTTCTTTACTCTGTTCTGACCCTGCAGAGCACCGAGCACAGATGGCTTTAATGTCAGACACTGACAAACAGACAGCACGCCCGGATTTAGAATGCATGACGGGTTAGAGTTGACATTTTAATGGTGAAATATGGGAGATGATTCAGTTTCAGAGGCAGCCTTACCTGGAGTGCCTCTGCTATTGGTCGCCTTGATGCTAGCAATCACACGGGTGCTGCTGGGGTTACTGAACCGCAGAACCACACGGAACAAATGCTGCCTCCCATCTTTCGGCTCAACATGCACTGTTACTCTGACTTCAGTCTGCGGGGAGGACAACAACACACACAGCTGACTGCGAGGGTAGGGGTTAGAGTAGACGACGAGGGAATAATGTTAAAGAAAAGCAAAAGTTAAAAATGAAGTTAGGTGGATGGAGAAGTCGTTAATTAACAGGCAGCAAGCAAGGTGAAGAAAGTATAACAGGAGGAGCAAAGCAGACCCTTCACTTACAGTCACAGCAAGACTGATAGCCAGTTTCATCCACCACCAAGATCCAAGCTCGCACTTGTGCTCTCCCCTTATGTCGGGGGGTGGCGTAGTGCATTAGAATATGGAAAGGTCCAGAAAAGCCAACAGTGAGCATTAAGATCACCTCTGGCTGAAGAGAGAGAGTGTTAGTGCTAAGAGAGCTGATGCCCTCAATTGTGTATCAGCACTGAAATTACAAAAGGCTGTGCTCTCAGGTGAAGATTATTTGTGCAGTGGCAAAAGCAAAAGAATCATAGTGGTAACAGAGAAGACTGGAAAAGGAAAATTATGATAGTACAAAAGTGGCAGACACTCTACTAGTCTCATGTAATTTATACAACAATGACATTAAAGCATCCGATACATTAATGCACAAGTTTGAATGAACGAACCTGTGCGGGGGACATCACAGCGTAACCTCTCCAGCTGAAGTCTGGGAACTCCTGGGAGCTATAACCAAAGCGTACTGGTCTGGAATTTGGTGAGGTACCATCCTCCACCTCAAACTTCAGCTGGTGCAGAGTGGGAAAGTAGTAGCCAAGTGCAGGCCTGGTAAAAAATAAATAAATAAATAAATAAATCGTTTGATTAAATGCTGCAAATATGTTAAGAAGAACCATTTTCATCCCAATTTAATGACATCAAAATCTGCCATGTCTTACTCGGTGCATTTACGGCCAATGATATTCCTCCGACACTGGCACTGTCCCGATATGTCATTGCATGCCATGCCAATGGCACCACCTATATCGCATTGACAACCTTTTGAGGGAATAGAAAAAAAGCAATCATTTTCTACATCAAACATGTTCCTTTATGTGATATTACACTGAAAATTAGTGCTTCTTCTCTGACCATACGTTGGATTTGTTTTGGGGCACATATTATGCAACCGTCCTTCTGAATATGAAAATATTTACACTCAACCAGATGCCAAGATTTATCACCGGCGTTACAGAAAGTACAGAATTTACGCTATTTAAATATGTCAGCATTTGGTTGTCTTTTGAAAAAACATTTTTTATTTTGCGCATGTTCTTGAAATCCTCCTTTTCACAGAAATACTTCTTTAGGAGACGTAGGCGTCAAAGCAGTAAAGTTTACTACATCCTGGCATCAAGAAGGACAAAGACGACCACAAGCCCTCACTGGATGCACTATCACACATTTCTGAAGGCTGTTCTTCAACAGGGAGAATTTATACTTTTGTAATATTCTTTGGTTTACATAAGAAAAAGAAGGTCCTCTGTTATCTTCCTTAGATAGAAGATCCCTGACAGACCTTGGGGCCTCCCAAGATGAAAATAAGGGACGCCTGAGCAGAAACCACAAGGACGGCACCAGGGTTAGGTCACTGCACTCCTAATAAGCTGCACTAAGCATGACCTTTCAGACCTCACCTATAAAAAATATTCTGTGCACTTTGCCATTTATTTTTATTATAATATATATTTAACACATTAAGCCATAATAAAGTATGATTTGTGCATTTTAACCTTTAGAAACTTTCATCAAAGATCATTATTCTGCATTCAGTATTGTTTTCAACAATGTAAGATAAAAAAAAGCTTTGATGATTGAAATGTCTTGGTGTCCCTAAACTTCAGAGGAGATCTGTACTATACATGTATTAGTACTTATGTACTAATAAAGTAGGGTAAAGTAAGGGACAATAACATGTTTAAATGTATCCAATGCAAAGTTTCAGGCTTAACAGAGAAACTTAACAACCTTGTTGATCTTCAACAGAGGTTTTATTAAAAGTTTTGTCAAGCAACTAAGCAAGTAGAATTAGTGCATTAAGCAAATATTTCTACTGCCACAAACACACAAGAAAAAAAAGAAGAGGGATATGGCTGTAATACCAAACCAAATAGCCCAAAACCTGTTTGGCTACATACACAAAATATCTTTTATATACAAAATATAAATATAGAACATACAGCTT